CCTCTCCTCTTCCGCAACAATCTCTGCTAGCCTGCCCTCTCCTCTTCCTCAACAATCTCTGCTAGCCTGCCCTCTCCTCTTCCTCAACAATCTCTGCTAGCCTGCCCTCTCCTCTTCCTCAACAATCTCTGCTAGTCTGCCCTCTCCTCTTCCTCAACAATCTCGGCTAGCCTGCCCTCTCCTCTTCCTCAACAATCTCTGCTAGCCTGCCCTCCCCTCTTCCTCAACAATCTCTGCTAGCCTGCCCTCTCCTCTTCCGCAACAATCTCTGCTAGCCTGCCCTCTCCCTCTTCCTCAACAATCTCTGCTAGCCTGCCCTCTCCTCTTCCTCAACAATCTCTGCTAGCCTGCCCTCTCCTCTTCCTCAACAATCTCTGCTAGCCTGCCCTCTCCTCTTCCTCAACAATCTCTGCTAGCCTGCCCTCTCCTCTTCCTCAACAATCTCTGCTAGCCTGCCCTCTCCTCTTCCTCAACAATCTCTGCTAGCCTGCCCTCTCCTCTTCCTCAACAATCTCTGCTAGCCTGCCCTCTCCTCTTCCTCAACAATCTCTGCTAGCCTGCCCTCTCCCTCTTCCTCAACAATCTCTGCTAGCCTGCCCTCTCCTCTTCCTCAACAATCTCTGCTAGCCTGCCCTCTCCTCTTCCTCAACAATCTCTGCTAGCCTGCCCTCTCCTCTTCCTCAACAATCTCTGCTAGCCTTACCGGATGCAGCTTTCGGATGACAGGCGAACAGAATCCCATTCCGGAAATACAACGAATGCCCCATTCGGGACAGATGCCTTCCCCTCCTGGCTTGAACATGTTCGCGGCCAGCTCCTCCGGTTTCACTTGGAGCCCTAAAATCCTACCTTATATAATTTTGGCGCGTATCTTTGTGTGTGTGTGTGGATGTCACTTTCGAGGCCCGATTTGAGGGCCTTCCCGTGCATAAAATGCCCTAATTCTCCGTCATCCGGGGGAATCGACCCTTCTGTTTCCGATGGCGTTGTCAGAATTACGATAGAATACAAGTTTACAAAGTTAAACCCGGTTTTGTTCATTTTTGGGGGTCCCTGAGCGCTAATTTGCATAATGCGGAAAAATACAAATTTCCTCATTCTTGCCATTTGCACTCGCGTGTGTGGCCGGTGGGGGGAAGGGGTCCGAAGGACCCGAGCTATCGGGAAGTCAAATTTTTCATGCAAAGGCCGCATTCCAACGCCCAAGGCCCGCGAAGCGGGTTTTGGGCGCTGGTCAACTATAATAATTTTCTTGTGTCTGTGTGTGTGTGTGTGTTTGAAGCCGAATTCAACTCGAAGGGGAAAAGAGCTAGAGCTGAGGTCTCTTCGGAATCGGATAGAGCGTGGTCAGAAACCCCTAAATTGATAAAAAAATTATGAAAAAATTTTAGTTAAAATTATTAAAATTAACTTTGATTTTTCCTTCGTAAAAGGGGGAGGGGACGGTGGTTGGCATGATTTTCGCATAGTGAACCAGGTCGCGCGCGTTTCGGCGAGGGGAAGGGAGTGCAGGGAGGAAGCCCGAAGTCCAGCCGCTTGCAGCGGCGAAGCCGCTGGAAGCGGCTGGGCAATACACAATTGAAGACAAATTAAAAGGGGCCGGGCAGGCTAGCAGCGTTTTTTTGAAGCAAAAAGAAACATTTGGGAGATTTTCTAAGGCCGAGAATTTCTCCATGGATTCTTTTCTCCTAGCGCTTCTGCCCCTTGGCCTCCCTGCTAGCCCTGCTGCTCACCTTCATCACACTTGGCCGGTGGGAGCTTAGGCGTCGCGGGTGTTGAGGGAGGAGCAGCGGATGGAGCAGCCGATGGAGCATCAGACGGAGCAGCCGACGGAGCAGCCGATGGAGCAGCAGATGGAGCGGCTGAGGGAGCATCAGATGGAGCAGCCGAGGGAGCATCAGAGGGAGCAGCTGATGGAGCAGCTGATGGAGCAGCTGGTGGAGCCTCAGATGGAGCAGCTGAGGGCGCCTCTGATGGATCCGCCTTCATCAAGCCGTCGGCAACTAAAAAATCCTAATTTACAAAAAAATAGTCCTAAAACCAAAAAGACAAAAATTCGGCGTACGGGATCGAACCCTCCCCCTAGTTTATTAGCCGAGCGGCTTGCCGACTGCGCCAAACAGCAGATGGCCCCACTGACCGTGGGAGTCCCGCAGGAATTCCTCGACGACTTCGAGGAGGTCGGGGTCGGGCTTGTCGTCGAATGTCTGGCCTGGAATTATTAAGTGATAAATTAACTAAATTAAATACGTTAATAGAAATTAAATTAAGCCGGGACAATTAAATCATTAAATAAGCCAAATCGATTACATTTACTTATAAGCATTTTTGACGTTAAGATGTTTCATAGTTGCGGCTATTTCGTTTTCAGAAGCGCTAGCGAAAAATTTTCCAAGTTAATCAAAATAGACATATATTAAAATTATACTTTTAAAAAAGAGAATTCCCGAACAAAACTTTAATAAATTATTGCTATTTGGTTTTAAAAACGGTTTTGAATGGTATTTTTAATTCATAAAACCATAAATTCATCAAAATCCGGCTACCATTATTCTACAAAAAAAATTTGGTTTCATCAATTCGTGGTATTTTAGTGAAAACCTGAAGTTTATTGCGTTGCTGAGAACACATCTTAAATCTGCCCGAAAATTTTTAACATTTCTTAAACCGAAACAATTTTTAAATGTGAATATTTGAGCCAATTCTTGCGAAAATACGGTAGAAAACAAATTTTTTTAAGTTTTACAAATTAATCCATGTTTCGCTCGGTATTTTGTACGCTCTTCATCCAAAATCTCCATAAACCCTAAATTTGCATAAACACCTACCAAAAACGGCCGCCGCGACCAGGCTGGTTAGAAAGATTAGCGAAGTAGAAAGCCGCATTTTTCGGTTAGCACAGACACAAAAAAACGTGCGCTGCGGGCGCAAGGGGGTACGGTAGTAAATGGTGGATTACTTGGCGGAGATGGCTAATATACGACAGAATCTATGCAAAATATGCGTGTCCTCAATTTATGCAAATTCTAGGATAATAATTTAAAACTAAATTATGTAAATTTTTTGTAAATGGTTGTATCTGGGTGGCAACAATAATGCACTAGCAACTCTGGCTTTTTAGAATTTTTTGATACAGGTAATTATAAATTGGATTAAAATTGTCTGAAAAATCTTCTTTGGAGAGATCGATGAAACACGAAAATTTCTGAGCAAAATGTTTCTTCGGCTCCCAGGAATTCCCCAAACAATCTCGGCTAGCTTGCCATTTCTATTCGCTTCCGAAATTAAATCAGCTCTGCCGCCCTGGTTGTATTTTTCTAGTCTCTTTTACTCGATAGTTTGTGATTTCAAGAAACATATAATTCACGGTGCTGCTACTGCGGTTTTGAACATTTTCCTAAATATTACTAGTTAATTTAAGTGGCATTTGCATACACCTAACTCTCACCTAAACCCTAACTCGCCCGCTAAAAATCCCCCCCCCACGCTAACAGTTCAGAACCTTTTTCTGTCCTTTCAAACAAGGGGTTGGGTTTTATATCATTTTATTCGAAGTTCGGTCCATTAAATCGTTATAAAATCACAAGGCAGGTATCGTCAATGTACAAAATTAATATCGTTCATGGTAGATACCAGAAAATCGATGTGCCTGAATGGGCACTTGTTTTTCGTGTGGTACGAAGGCGTCGGTGTGCACGGAGAATGGGCGTGGGATGCGTCGGATCGAGATTTGGGGCGGGAGGTACGGTGGTAGATGGGGTGACGGGTAGGCATCCGGGGGCTAAACATATATTTTTTGGGAATTAAACCTATCAAACAGAGATAAAAATTTTGGCTTTTAGAAAAAAGTGTTTCAATTTTCTTGTAGACATAGAAAATCTTTCGCAAAGCAATTTTGGCTCGTTCAATTCGATTTCTGGATTTTGAAGAAACGTTGTTTCACTCTTTGTTCGAAAAAACCAAAAAATTGGTCCATTTACTGATTCCAAAAATTTGACTGTTTTACCTGATTCTGGTTCCTCCTCCAATTCCGTCCGGATCCACTGCTTCCGCTGCTCGTCGAAGCCGTGTTAATGGACGCGCGACTAAAAGATGCCTATTTGGACGTTTCTAATCAATTTTATAAATTTTATTATTTTATTAGCTAAATTCGCGATTTCCTGTAGCTGTACGTTTAAAATGACTAAAATTAGTTGAATGTTAATAAAGATTACTAAAAGCTGTGAATAAAAATTTTAACGGTATTTTTACCTGAACTGCTCGCCGATGGAGTACACCTCCGGGGCACCGTGAATGTACGGGCTGCCCGGGTGGGCGATGTGGAAGTGAGGGCCTCCACCTAAAAATTAAATGTTTCATAAATTGTTAAAAATACAGCACAAATTTGATCGATTTAATAGGTAGATGTTACTGTATTTGTAATGTAGAGCCGCTTCATATCCTTGTGCACTTATTTTAGAGTCCAGGCTGGCTGTCAGAGTTCATTTGGGAATGAGGTACTTTTGCAGTAGGGGGTGGCGAACTGTTCTAACTTTCTCTTTGTAACTCCTCCATAACATTTTCAATTAAATTTTAAATTTAAATTTAGTGATTTAAATTACTGAGCCCAGGGCAGGATAGCAGAGGCCATGGGGAACTACTCCCAAAATCATTTCTAAACCTACCGTAATGTCCCATCGGAATCGGCGTATTGTCGCGTAGGCTCATCGGCGAGAATGTGGAGGGATACGGGGGCGGGGCGTAGGCTAGACGAGTCAGTATCCTGAAAAAAAATGTGATCCACAGAGTCCGGGTTAGTGGCGCCATTTCTGGATGCATATACATTATCAAGGAAGGCTTGGAGAAGAACTTATATTTTTTTCATTAGGTATTATTTTTTGATACTTTTATCTTATTTTTATTTTTGGTGTTTTTAAAATTGGTCAACAAGGGAGATTTGTTTATTGATAATTATTGAAACAAACTTGATATTAAAACTGCGTTTATTTCCAAATCATTTAGATTTGGCGGTAAGTTAATATATCATTTTTAGCGCTAATAAATTAGATTACTTAATTTTTTTCGAAAACGCACCGATTGTGATGAACAAAGTCATGGGCTGGCCGGATGGTGAGCACGAGATTTTGAGCATTAGCCACCATGATATCCGTCACCTGGTCGAGGGTCTTGCTGCAGATCTGAAAGAAACAAACTACGCTCTGGCTAATTGGCCTACAGTATGTCTAAATTTGTTTGGGCCGAAATTAATTCACTCAAAAATGTATGAAACTCAATTTCCAGCATAGAGAGAATTTGATAAAATGCCGTCGGCAATTTCATTTTCGACAAAATGGGAATGATCGATTAAAACGTATATTGGAGAATTTAAATGAAGGTTCCTGCAGCGGGGTTTCAAAGAAACTTTTTTCTGTGGCAGCCATAGAAAATATGAAACAGCTATTTTTCTCTAGCTGATTATTTTGTTCTCAGTCCTCCCCATGATTTATTAGCCGTTAAATTTTTCACGGTTTTCCTAGAAAAAATGAAACACGTTTTCTATCGCTAATTATTTTTATTAGGCTGAAGGACTTTAAATCGCGCCTATTTTTCGTTATACAGTCTATTGCTTAACCAGTCAAAACTAATTTCTAATAACAAATGCTAAAAATTTTTACTAGTACTCCACAGAACAAAGGAAGGAAGGCCCGATGGTAAGTTTAGTTAGAAAATTGATGAAACTCGAGTTTCTAAACAAAAAAAGAAATCGTGGTTTCGTAGGTGTTAATTAAGTTAATTTAGTTGTAAAGAAACTTGTAAGGTTTAATGAAACAGCTTAACGAAACAACGGCTGAATTTCTGAATTTAAGAAAGCACCTTGAAAAATAATTCTACTTTGTTTCGGGGTTAACGGACCTTGATCAAACCGAAAAAATGTTTCGAAAATTAATAAAATACAAAATCTACTCACATCAATGCCGTTCACTTCGAGAATTTCATCGCCCTCGTGGAGCAGATTTGTCGAGGCGGCGAGGCCAGACGGTAAAAGCCTCGAGATGAAAATTGAGGGCACCGCGGCCGGGCCCCAATTGGTTAGGCGCTCGGAGAGGCCTGGAAAAATGTGTTTCGTTTTAAAAACATTATTGGAAATTTATTTCTACCAGAATTCGCGTTCGATAATTCTTAACTCTCAGTATTCCTAAAAATCGCTGCTATCTCGCCCTTCATTTCAGATTTATTCCCCGCAAAAAATCTCTGCTAGCTTTCATCATCCCTCGAATTTTGAGCATAATTTCAGCGCTTTTCTATTTTCGGGGCTTTTTGTCTTTGGCCCGAATTTTCCTAATATATCTACAAGGAAACGGGAAACGTTTATAAACTGATTTTTGATTATGAAACATCAAGATAGAAATTTGCGCATAAAAACACGAAAATACAAGGTTTTTCGAAAAAATCGAACATTTTGGCAGTTTTTTGTTTTTTATAATTTTTTCTATTTTAGATGGGTTAATTTGATAAAAACACTGTTAAAACAGTTGCTAGTTTTGTAAAAAACACCAAATTTGTCATCCTAGCCTGAAAAAAAGTGTGTTTCTAGGCAAGGAGATCCAGAATATTTTATTTCCTGCGTAATTCATCTGTTCGGTTTTTGTAATTGTGTACCCACAATTCAAAGAAAAGGAGCCCTGCCTGCTGCTAGCCTGCCTCCTCCTCTTACTTACCATCTCGAATGTAAAACCCAAGCGGTAGGTTCGTGTGAAATTTGCATAGGCGAACGCGGACGATTTCTGGGGGCAGAATATCGGTGTCGATGATAGAGGAGACCTGTAAATAATCTTAAATGATTATACACATACTTTAATTGCAAAAATACGCTTAGTATTACGCACAAGTAATCTGAAATCCCACGATTGAAATTTTGATTTTTTTTTTAGTCAATTTAGTCTTCCCAGCGACAGAGCAGTTTGGATTAGCGCCAAATTTTTTTGCGCTGGTTGCGGTGAATTCTGAAATATATAAATTGTAAAAAATTACATATTTTGTGTTCGTTAAATTTTTCGGTATATCTTAGTTTTTAAACGAAAAAATGCGTTAACCAGTGTTTTATGATTTAAAGCTAAGCATCTCAATTTCTCCCAGAAACGCACCCTTCGAAAATCCTGCGGGGCGCTGATGCTGATATTTTTCTTCTTTCGCAACGTCGTTTCGGAGAGACCGTAGCCGAAGCGCTCCTGGAATTCCCATTTTTAATTTTTTTAATTTTGGGTGATTCCGGTAATCCACTTTTTGATTTGAGGCATTGGATCCTTGTTTTTGTTTCGATCCCCAAAGTCAAATTGGATTAAAAAACCCAAAACTGGTCGTAACAATGGAAAAATAGGAAACATAGCTTTTCAAAAAAAAGCAAAAAATGTTTTTCGGCCGTTTTTAAATTCGGTGTTGTAACTATAAGGTGTTGCAACTAAAATTAGGCAGCTCTGGAATTTTTATGAATAATAAAACTGCACCTCGAGCGACTCTGCTTTATTCTGGACGACCACACGCAGCAGCTTCTCGTTGTCATCGAGCGCCTTGTAGAAGTTCTAAAAATAGGGAGGCTGGCAGGGAAAATTGAGGAAAACTGAATAAAAAAATCAATAGGGCAGGCTAGCAGAGATACCTATGGAATTTCTCGGCCCTTACCTCGTCATTCGAAATCGGCAGATTCGTCCCGTCGGCCGAGGTGTACATGATTTTCACCGAATTTCGCTGCTCTTCCCCAAGGCCGTGGAGGAGGAAAATTAATTCGGTGAATTCTGAAACATTAGTATATTTCGGTATTGTATTAATTTACTTTAATTTAAAAAAGTTAATGTATCCACAAGGAAAAAATAAGGAATAAATTCAAAATAGATTTGTTATTGAAACAAACTGATTTCTCATATCTTTACATGTTTTAGAACATTGTTTTTTAATTCTCTTCAAAGTTTAAGGTGCAAACACAGTAGTTTTATAACGGCACTATCAGTTCAATCCAATTAAATATAAAGGTTAAGGATCCAGAAATTAAACTGGGTAAGTCCGCCCGGATTTTTATTGAGACAAACTGATTGCTAGTATCTTTCAAAGTTTTTTAAAACATTAATTTTTAATTCCACGCAAAATTTAGGGTGAAAAATAATAGTATTTATAGTAGCATTACCAATTAGATTCAATATGTTATAAAGGATCTAGAAATTCAAATGGAGAAAACCAAGCTTTTTTATTGAAAGAAATTGATTTTGCGTGTCTTTAAAATTTTTTTAAACATTGATTTTTCATTTGATTCGGTGAAAAATAGTAGTATTATAACGGCATTACCTTGGCACGTCGGCAGGGCATGGCGGCTGTCCACCACAAAGGATACTCGCCGAAAATCGCTCTCAAAGCGTGACTTCACTTTGATGCGTAGTTCCTGGAAAAATTTGACGATTGAAATTCCTGTTATTTTGCCCGCTTTCTCAAAATCTTTTTCATATTAAAAAAAAATTTAACCGATGACACAAAAAATTTAAATATTCACCTCGGCATCACTGTGTGCGGAAGCGACGCTCCTCGGTCTATAAGCCTTCAGCGTACAGAATGGTGACGATGGAGAGGGCAGATCGGACGCGTGAGTGATCATCTGATTTTGAGATTAATTTTAAAACGTCGAAATGAATAGCGTTGAAATTTATAGCGTCGCAAAAGTCGCAATGAAAAATGTCGAGATTCATAATGCCGACCTTTTTATAACATCGAAAACCTATAATGCCAAAATTTCATAGTAAAATTCTGGTAATGTAGTACATTCATACCGGCGAAAAATGCAGAGTCGGAATTCATAATGCCGAAATTTCGAAATATCGAAGGTTCAGAACATCGAAATTTTACAATATCGAATTTTGATCATGTCGGCATTCATAAGATCGAAATTTTTGAAATTGAACTATGTTTAAATAAAATCGAATCGTGTTGAAGTGTTAATAGTAAGCTTCGTAGCGGTAGCTAGCAGTGATCATTTGGCGGCCCGGGAGAGGAGTTTATAAAAGGGCTCGAATTACTTCCCCTGTGGCGTTGACGGACGGCTTATTAAAATGTGAAATTTGATACGAATATTAGGGCGGCAAAGACCCTTCACCTTCCCTAGTAACCTTCAAAAATCATAGTTAGTTTTGGATTAAAAATGTAAATTGCTTATGGCATAAACGTTATGAAATTCAACGGTTTATTTTACTTAAAAAAATAATGTTGCAAAAAATTGTAAATTGCAGGCGAAAATGCACGAATCATGACTTTCTGTAACAGGTTTTGTAATTTTTTTGCCATAAAACTTTCTCTTTGATTTCTCTCTCATGAAGTTCCAAAAAATGTTTCGTGCAATTTCGAGACCGAGAAAAATCTTGCGCGCTGACTCACAAGACGCATGGAAGGTAATATGAACGTTAAATTTTCAAATATACACTGCCGGACATAATTTTGGCTCCACCCAAATTTTTGCGATTTTCTCGCATGGTAGCGGAGCGATACTGGACGCCTTCAAGGATAGGGTTTGTCAAAGAGACTGTAAACTGGGTTTAGAAGGGAAATCTCTCCGAAAAATCTCAATTTTTTCGAAAATGGAATTTTTGTAAAATTTCGCTTCTGGCAAGTGGTCATAATTTTGGCTCCACCTCGGAAAACTCAAAAATTAAAAAATTTCAAATGATTCTCAGGGTAGTTTTGTAAGGAAAGGGGCACCTGAGTGTCAAGGGATCTGCGAACACCGAATCCCAATGCCCTGAATCCGGTTATGGATGAGCATCTGGCCGAAACTCTCCCATGTCTCGAAGTGAGCCTTCTTGTGATTTCCCCTGGATAGCGGTTGTTTTTAGCACAAAGCGTTGCCAACGTGTAGCCCTAACTGCATTTTGATGAATTAGAGGCCGCGGATTGAGCCGCCGCCCAAAAAAATCGAATTTTGTGACATCGAGATTTCGATTTTGATCGTTGGCATCCACGAATTTAGGCCTAACTTGCTTTAAAGCACAATTCATGCTCAGATTTCGCGGGAGACAAGACCGGGGCGGCTGTTCGGAGGTGTACTCGTACTGATCCAGCTTCATCGGCTTGGAGGCGCAGCTCAGCTTGATTTTTCCAGTTGAGCAAGACGAAGCTGAGGCCGTCACAAATCACCCCTTAGGATTTGGTCGTAAGAAACGCAAATTTTGCTCCCTGGAGATGATGACAGTCCAACCACAAGCCAGCAGCTTCATCCCTATGAACTTCTAGCCACGAAGCTTCAAGGAACCAAGCGTGTCGGATTGATTCTTCCTCCGCTCGATCAAAGCGCTCCAAAACGGATCTGCTGAGCTCTGCCTCCAAGCCGATGAAGCTGGATCAGTACGAGTACACCTCCGAACAGCCGCCCCGGTCATGCCTCCGGCAAAATCTGAGCATGAACTTTGCATTAAAGCAAGTTAGGCCGAAATTCGTGGATGCCAACGATCAAAATCGAAAATTCGATCTCACAAAATCCGATTTTTTTGAGCGGCGGCTCAATCCGCGGCCTCTAATTCATCAAAATGCAGTTAGGGCTACACGTTGGCAACGCTTTGTGCTAAAAACAACCGCTATCCAGTGGGAAAATGCATCAAGAAGGCTCACTTCGAGACATGGGAGAGTTTCGGCCAGATGCTCATCCATAACCGGATTCAGGGCATTGGAATTCGGTGTTCGCAGATCCCTTGACACTCAGGTGCCCCTTTTCTTACAAAACTACCCTAAGAATCATTTGAAATTTTTTATTTTTTGAGTTTTCCGAGGTGGAGCCAAAATTATGACCACTTGCCAGAAGCGAAATTTTACAAAAATTCCATTTTCGAAAAAATTAAAATTTTTTCGGAGATTTCCTTCTAAACCCAGTTTACAGTCTCTTTGACAAACCCTATCCTTGAAGCCCGTACAGTATGCTCCGCTACCATGCGAGAAAATCGCAAAAATTTGGGTGGAGCCAAAATTATGTCCGGCAGTGTATGTGAGTAAAAGAAGAAGGCGCTTTCTGGAGGTCATCCAGGTACATGTGGGTGTTGGTGCAAATTGGGGAGGGCATTGTGTTTTTGTGGGGGTACCTTGGAATGGAGAGAGCGAGAGAGAGAGAGAGAGAGAGAGAGAGAGAGAGAGAGGGAGGGAGAGAGAGCAAAGGGTCCATCCATCGATTGAATACCGCCCCCAAAAAATGGTGCCCCAAGGCATTTATGGGAGGACGGGTAGGAGGCGAGGGCAGAAGGTCACGCAGGTGAGGATAGCACCATTAAAGTGAGGGTGACATCATCATTGCGGGGCAGGTTAGCAGAGATTGTTGAGGAAGAGGAGAGGGCAGGCTAGCAGAGATTGTTGAGGAAGAGGAGAGGGGCAGGCTAAAGCGGGATTGTTGAGGAAGAGGAGAGGGCAGGCTAGCAGAGAGTTGTTGAGGGAAGAGGAGAGGGCAGGCTAGCAGAGATTGTTGAGGGGAAGATGAGAGAGGGCAGGCTAGCAGAGATTGTTGAGGAAGAGGAGAGGGCAGGCTAGCAGAGATTGTTGAGGAAGATGAGAAGTCAGCCAACTTTCGGAAAGCCAGCTTAGGAAGGATCTTAGGAATTCCAGCTCTTTTTCGAAAAAAACAATGCTTCAAAACCCTTCTGCCAGTCGTCAAAATTTTTGGTTATTAATATTCGAGGTAGTTATCACAATTCGAAATGCTTGTATACACCCGAAAAATTAAGATCATGTTTTGCTGCTAAATTTCCTCCAAATAAAAATGTATTTTGTAAAAACTTACATGTAAGAATTGATTGAAAATTACAATACTCTCGAATCGACCGAAAATCGTCTCTCCACCGTTTTAAAAGCCATAAAATTTGCATTTTTTTTGTTATAAATTTTTCCTCAAAAATTGCACTAAATAAAAATTATAGTTAAATCCAACTATATATAAGTGTTAAAATTACAGTACGCTTGTGTACTTTTCGAATCCGGAGAAAATCGACTCCACACCATCTGGCCGACCATTAAATTTGCATAACATGACCTCATTCTAGCCGATGCCGGGCGGGCCGGAAAATTGAGCTCATCCCCGGAAAATTTGAGGAAGAGGAGGCGAGGGAGATCGACTCCGCGCAGAAGGCCGCGCTATAGAAAAACGGGGGCGTGTAATGGGGCGTCTCGTGGAATATAAGGGGTGAAATTGTATGGTCGATCGGCTGGTGAAGGATTCCGAAATGATCCCTGCTAACCTGCCCGGTTTTTGGAATCCTAGGCTCGCAATCTATGAAAATGGAAATCGTCAAGCCGAACAGCTTTTTGAAAAAAATTAAATGTTTCATAAAACCTAAAAATTGGGAATTTGAAATTTGGGAATTCGGTAAATGGGAGGCATAAGGTGAAATCAACTAACTAATTACATTTACAACCCAAAGCTAGCTTCGCAATCTTCCTGATGACCCTGCCAGCCTGGAGAATGAAGCCCTATGAAAAATGCACTACAAACACGGATGACCCCATTTCCTGACCCGGTTTTCGGAAGATTAATGTTTCAGAAAAAAATAAGAAATGTGTTTCTTCGCAGGGAGGTTAGGTTCCTCAGTGTAATTCATTTCGAATCTAATCGGTTCCCGACACTCAGTTCTCTGACACCGGTTCTCGACAAATCAGTTCCTTCCGGATTCCCTCGAGCAAACAAAGTTCCTCGACAATCAGCTCCCAACAATTAGGGA